TGGTATATTAATGAATAATTTAGAATTTTTTTAATTTATTTAATATATTTATTAAATAACATGTAAAATATCTAAATATTAAAAATACAATGTTTAATAATAACTAGTAGATGCTATAATAAAATACATTTGAAAGTACAATGATGTAATAAGAAAGTCACATCACTATAGTACATGTGGATAGTTTACATGGACAATGAGGTGGCACAAAAACCTGGTATTATGGGTAAATTTAAATCAAAAGGTTACCCAATACTATAATGGGTAAATTTTTCAAAAATGTCATAATAAAATATAGTTTAAAAGTACATTGCTGTAATAAGAAAAACTGAAAGTACAATGCTATGATAAAAAAAATTATGAAAGTAGATTGTTATTTTATGCATTTTGCTCTTTTTTTATAAAAGCAATTGCGATTAAGTAAAATTTACGATGAAAATGGATACGTGCAACTACTCATATTTCATCTCCAACGTGTATATGAATCATACGTGTTTGTTCGTTTCTTGAGATTCTTGAACCAAAACACAAATTTAACCTAAAAAATAGTTGCGACGATGTGTTTTAGGTATAGTGACATCACCATCGCCGTCGTTAATGTGGTTGATGAGTTGATAAAGTTGATTGTCGTCGTTTATGCTAACGGATCTGCCGTCGTAGCAGAGGGAGAGTTTCATGACCGAGTCGGTGTGGCTCTGGCCTTCGACCATTCGACGAGTATTCATCTGCGGGAATCCAATGAACAATGATTCCAGTCGCCTGATCCATGAAACTGGAAAATTATGAGGAATTTAATCGGATATGGAGCCCTCCTCCATTAAAACAACGGTCTCTAATCGGGTAGAGATGAAGATGGCTAATTCTCTTCTCTTCATCAAAAATCCATATTCAAAACATTTTTAATTAATTTGTGATATTTATTATAATTATTTAAAATATTTGCAAAGTTTTTATAGAAAAATAATTTTTATGTTGTTTCATATATTATACAAAAAACATGTAAAAGTTAGAGCTGATCATTTGTGGGCTTAGGCCGATCCAGCCTGGGTTTAATTTTTTTTTTCAACGGACCTAGTATGGTAAAACCAAACTCGTTTTTACGGGTTTTAAAACTTACCCATATTTGTCCTATAAATGGGTCAGACTTGCCCACAGGCTAACAAACTTAAAAATCTTGTTATATTTTTATGAAAACAAAACTTATATAAAATCACAAGTTATGTAAAATAATTCAAAATACATAATAATTTTTCTAACTTAAAATTTGACGTAAATACATAACAGTATACATACTTTAGACAAAAATTGTTTCACTAAATATGAAGTATCGATAAAGAAAATGATTAAATGAGATAATAAGGAATTGATCAATTGAGTTAATTATATTTTCAAATTTAATATTAATGTTATTATCATGAGCCATAATTAAGTAGGAATTGATGGGTATTAAGAATCTTCAATTTTATTTGTAAATTTTAATCATAAAAGTTAATTATTATAAAAATATTGATGGGTCTGACAGGTCTGTCAAATATTTTTCCATTGTCCATGTCCGCCCATTAATTTTAACAAGTTAGTCCAAGCCTCCAGGGTCGTCCATTTCTTCGAGAATGATAATTCAAGTATGCTTTTATAGCAGACTGGACATGACGGATCTAACGGGTCATCTCGCTCATAAGCAGCTCTAGTAAAAATGCAGTTTTTATATTGTGTTGTTTGAGATATAAAAGGTTTATGCCAAGAAAAATTCCATAAAGAATAATCTTAATATTTCATATGTGAAATAATAGTGTATAAACTAGTTTATATGATTATTTGTTTTATAAATGATTACAAGTCTACTAACATTTTTGTTTGTCTTAAATAAATTGTACGATTCTCCTACATTTTATTTCAACTTATTTTTATATTAATATTTACGTCCGTCAACAGTAACATCCAATAGATTTTATACAAATATATATATATATATATATATATAATGTAAAGAAAAGTGTCAAAATCTCAATCAAAAATTGTGTTTGTTAAGTTGTCAACTTATTGATTAATTTTTAAACAAATATATATGTACGGAATTGTTAAATAAGTCGTTCAATTCATTAATGTCTTGTTTGTTTTTATAAGAGGCGTTGAAGTCTGGAAAAAACATTTCATTTCTTATTAATAAGAGGTGATGTTGAAATATGAAAACATAATCAATAAAGTTGTTTGTTTTTGTAAACTAACAAATGTCTGAATTTTCAAGTAGACTCAAAGTTAACGATATTAAGAAACTATTAACAATAAATGAATAAAAACATAACCACAAGGGTTGTGGTGCAGTGGTTGAGGTCAAAGGAGATATGGTGGAATATCACATTCGCCTTGCATCCGATTTCATGTGTCTGCAAAAATTGTTGTCATTACAGCATCTTCAACAACTATTTTAAAGTAGAGAGAAAAAAAGGATTTTAACAATTTTTTTACTAAAACGTTTATGCTATCTTGTATGTTAAAATAGAGAAAAGATGTCTTTAAATAGAGGGATAAATTATTATTTTAAAACTTCCATCAATAAGAGATTTTTGTAATAAATGTTTAGTAGAAAAAAATAATATTTTATTAAATGTAAGAGTAGCTGTTTGAGTTGAATGTAATTTTTTATTGAGATTTTGCCTTTTAATACTCTATTTTAGAAAAAAAAAAATATATAACATAGTTGTTGGAGATGCTATGTTATTATTATTTTTTTTTTTTGAAAAAAGCTCTTTTATCATCTTTTATGTATGATTCATTAAGGGGTAGGTTATTTAGATTATTGTTTTTTTTTTTTCAATTTTTTCAGAGACACTTATGTCTTATTGTCCCCTTATTTGATAAGAGGTGAATCAACCTCTTATTTGTTTCTTATTGTTTTCAGACCCTCAGCAACGACATGTCTCGATCAATCGATTAACCTTAATCATTCATTTCTCTTAATCGATCTTCACCTCTCTTAATTGATGTATTTTAATAGTATTTAAATGTGTTAAATACCGTCAGTGACATTTTTGTTTAAATGAATGCTAAATATAAAATTTATATGTAAATTTTGTAATCATGATGAATAAATACGTGCAATTCTGCAAATTTATCTATAAATTCAATACTATATTTTTCTAATAGATTGGATAGATAATTTAAACAATTCATACATTTATCATTTTACAAAAACAAACAATTTTATTGATTCAGATTTCATACTTCAGCACCACCACTTCTTATCAATCAATGATGATAAAAGTTTTACACGATAATCACAAAAAAAAAAAAAACAATCTTGTAAGTCTAATCTCTTATCTAGTTAAAATAACGCGTGGATGAGATTTTTTTTTTCTTTCAAAAAGCAAATAGTCCCCAAGTGATTTAAGTCGATTAATTAATTAAGTTAATGGACTGATAACTCAATTCACTAGGCATGGGAACGAGGCGGGGGAATGCAATCCTCGGCCTTGACCCCGAATCCACTATCTCATCCTCGTCCTCGATAGGGAATCAAACCCCCTCATTGTTTTTGTTTCCCCTGTCCCTGGTTTATTAGCGGTTAGTGCTGTAAACAAACCGAATGTTCAGTGAACCGTCCGTGAACCGTTCGGTAGGAAGTTCATTTAGTTAAACGAACAAACATGAACAAGAGTCTCGTTCGTTCATTTATGTGCGTGAACGTTCGTTTATGTTCGTTTATATATTAAATTTAATATATAATATTTTATTTATTTACTTTGAATTCATATAATATTTATTTATGTTCGTTTAGCCCGTTTGTTTATTTTCGTTCATTTACGTTCGTTTTGCATGTTAATGAACGAACAAAAACGAACACGAACACACCTGCTTTTTAAACGAACGAACATGAACACAAAGATTTTCATTTGTTTGCCGTTCGTGTTTGTTCGGTTAAGTTAAACGAACGAACATGAATAAGCCTCTGTTCGTGTTCGTTCGGTTGGTTTACAGCTTTATCTACGGTCAATCCCCAGTTCAACAATAAAAGGTTAAAAAAAATGGTCAAATTTTGTTGAAAAATATAATATGTTATATAAGATAAAACACACACCTTCCATTTCATCCATTCCTTCATAGCAATTTCCATCAAAACAGTCGGTTTTCTTTCAATAAAAACTTACTAATAATTTTAGTTTTGTGTTAAAACCTAAAAGATTTGATTTGTAATTCAAATGTACTGTTTTTCATTCAGAAACTTTTGTTTATATATTATCGTGGTGTTGATTTTGGACACGAAGAAAAGTGATTATATTTTTCAATAGTTTCTTAATATTGTTATAGTACAAAAGAAGATCGTTATCTAACCAAGCCATAAGACCAACATCCAAAATAGCATCGACATGGATATTGATTTTAATTTATGGCTTTTTAGCATAGTAGTTTTTGTTGTGTTTCTCTATATTGACATTTCTAAAAATGGACACCAATTATATAGGGTTATTGTCAAATCTCAAAATCATGAGAAATCAGTATGTTCATGATATATTGGGTTTCTTTTATTTTAACGTGCTTTAAAAACCATAGATACAACATCACATATATAACAAACAACAATAAACAATTGATCTTGATTTGTACATACGTTTTAGTTTAAACATGCTATTTAATTCAAATAGATCTTAATAAAAGAAAACTTAAAAAGCAATCATTCCCTCAAAATCAAAATCAAATGTTTTATACTCAAATATTTTACAACTATTTTTCCCTTTTTAAGTTATCCAGACTATTTGTTATTGTTGATATTGAAGTTCTCTATTTCATAAGTCAACAAAAGTATATGTTAATTGTCTTTATTGTAGATATTATAAAATTGGAATTATAACAATCTCATTACGTGGATGCACTTGATTGTTGTAACGTCTTGTACTCTCTATTTAAATAGTAATATCAATACATATATAAAACTTGAAACTAAGAGATGGGTATTTGCATCACAAAACAAATCCGATCATGACGTCATTAGTGAATACCAATTTTTTGAGTCATATTGTAACATTTCAAGTCAACCATATGAGATATTGTTCGTTTTGTCCACACACCTGAACTCACGATTAAAACGCATATGATAAAGAAAATATCAAGCTCTTCTAAGATATCACTATTTTTTAGACCAGATAAAAACGGTCTAATTTTTATCCTCGTTTTTTTTAAATCAAACAAGTTATTTTATTTTCTTAAATCCGTTAATTTCACACTTTAATTAATAATTTAATCCAATATAAAAATCTAAGAATTATAATAAGATATTAGGTTACATTGGTTTTGTTTGCAAGTGAAGTGTTTATCTCCCCTGTTGTGTCCAATTTCCCGTCACAAAACAAAATAAAAAAAGAAAATGAGAAGACGGATCACATCCATCGGGGCTACACTTGTTATCGTAGTCCTTACGATGGCTGCCATTATTTCTCTTGCTCGCTCTTTTCGTCGTCCCTTATGCTTTCCTTCTGCTTCAACCCCCAAGCATCTTCTTAAATCTCGTATCTGTCCCCTCTGGTCTTCTTCCTTCTACTTCTGCCTCCCTCCTCCTCCTCTTCGCAATACTCGCCTCCGCCACTCCCACCTACCTACGCCTCCCGCCGCCGTTGATCCATTCCGTGCTTCATTCTCCTCCGCCACAGCACCATCCCCAATGTCGACCGTTAGTGATGATAATCCTCTATTGAAGGAGTTTGAGTTTCCCCCCTTTGATGTCATCGATGCCAGTCACGTGCGCCCTGGGATGCGTGCTTTGTTGAAGAAGCTTGTAAGTCTGTGTGATTGATTATGGATTTGTGTTTATTTGATTGTTGACTTTGGGGGAAATATTTCAGGACAGTGATTTGATGGAATTGGAGAAGACCGTGGAGCCGTCGTGGCCGAAATTGGTGGAGCCGTATGAGAAGATGATGGATCGGTTGTCTGTTGTTTGGGGAGCTATTAATCATCTCAAGTCTGTTAAAGATACTCCTGAACTCCGTTCTGCCATTGAAGAAATCCAGGTTTATTTCTGTCGCTTTTTTGTTGATTTAATTCCCCTTTTAAAGAGATAACATGATCGTAATACATATATCATATATGGGTTGAGTGATTATGTGCGTTGAAGGTGTTCTCCTTTTCAATATAAAAGTAATTGACATTGCATTTAATTTGAGAAGAAATGGATGTTGTGGTTTTTTTTAACGTTTCTTATATTCTTTTTGCAGCCTGAGAAAGTGGAATTTGACCTGAAATTGGGTCAAAGTAAACCTATATACAATGCTTATAAGGCTATAAGGGAATCACCGGACTGGGCAACACTAAGTGATGCTCGCAAACGAATCGTTGAATGTAAGTACCTGAAATTCTTCTGATTGTCAGAGAATAGAAGTTGTTTTATTGTGCACATTATTTAAAGTTTATGGTCTCAACCCACACCAACGAACCCACTGAATTTCACACCAAGAACCAAATTTCTTTACAAATTTCAACAATATCCATATAGCCTTTACTTGTATCTTAGTGTATTCGTACTAAGCAGGCGCAACTTATCCTCAGAGTTTGATGGTTCTGTTTTGGTCTGCACAATATTAATCAGACCCTTTTAAACATTTGTACCTTTTAATTTTTATTATGACCTGAAGTTTTTGTACTGCAAGCAAGTCTAGATGTATAGCAGATCCTGAAAATATGTTATTTCCCATTTTATCTTAATATCATGCATCTGCGAATCTGGTATGACATGTTTCAACTTGTCTACACATGCAGCATCAATAAAGGAGGCTGTTCTTAGTGGTGTCTCCCTTGAAGATTCTAAGAGAGAAGAATTTAACAAAATTGAACAGGTGTGCTCTTTTATTGTCCTGAGCAGCCAGAGTCTTTCTTTTATTTGTTTTTAAATTTGAATATGTTCATTTAATATTTGACTATGGTTACCTCAGTTCTTTTGAACACTAACACTTGACCAAACTTACCACTGCGAGACATAAATCAAGAGAGCATATAGTGATAATGATGTTACTATGGATGAAGCTTCCACCCTTGGGGTCTGCAAACAGTGCTTGTTTTCTTGTCATGCATGTTAATATTCTTCATCTGGGTTCTGCATGGGTTTAATACTTGTTATCTTGGCATGCATATTGATATTCTCCTTCCATTCCTTTTTCATCCTTCATTATGGTCATCTGTCTGATCTTCATTTAAAATTGTGAGACTAGCGAAGTGAGTGACAATTATGTTTATTTTGTTAAGGTTGCTGACTATTTTGGCATTCATTGTGAGTTGATCTGCAGGAGTTGACAAAACTTTCTCGAAAATTTGAGGAGAATGTTTTGGATGCCACTAAGAAGTTCCAAAAAATAATAACAGATAAGAAGGAAATCGAAGGATTGCCAGCTACAGCTCTTGGCTTGGCTGCACAAACTGCCTCATCTAAGGTTTCTAAAGAAACCTCATTATTTGTGCATACTGTTTAGTGGATGCTTCCATCTGGACATCAGTATCCCACTTGTTCTTATTTCATTGTACATATTTGAATCCAGGGTCATGAAAATGCCACTGCTGAAAATGGGCCATGGATGATTACTTTGGATGCTCCAAGTTTTATGTCTGTCATGCAACATGCTAAGAATCGAGCTTTGCGGGAGGAAATTTACCGTGCTTATGTAACCCGTGCTTCTAGCGGAGAACTAGATAATACTCAAGTTATTGACCAAATTCTGAAGCTTAGATTGGAAAAAGCTAAGCTTCTTGGCTACAAAAACTATGCAGAGGTCTAAATTGTTGTTCACTGGTTGTACTTGCTATCTAACTTAGCTTCATAGTTGCTTTATTTGATTGGCATAGTGGAAATTTATTAACAGGTAAGCATGGCAACCAAGATGGCTACTGTTAGTAAAGCAGAAGAGCTACTGGAAAAGCTCAGGAGTGCTTCCTGGAATGCTGCAGTTCAGGGTAATGTACCCTATATGGTTATGAAAGTGCTTGTGTCACACCAATTCTTGATGGAGGTTTCTTGCTTTAGCAGTCACTAATTCATAATGCAGAGAATCACCAAAAGGCCCTAATATATCAATTATAACATTTGGAGAGCCATATGGTTGTTAAATATGATGGTTGAAATTTAGGGTTTTTTTTTTTTGCTTAATGATCTTAATAATGACTTATTCCCTCAACCACTAAGCAGTGTTTGTTTTTTTGCTTACTTGTTAAGCAATGGCTGAATTGGATAAGTAACCATGTATCTACTGTTCGCATTCAGCCATCTTATCACAGACATGTCTTAATAAAACAAAAACAAGCCCTCACGAAACTGATGTATCTTTTGCGTTATTTGCTTATGTTCTAACAAACTTTGGCATCTCGGGTCCCTATCCCTTGGTTTTATACATAAGTTCAGATGTTCATGAATAAAAAACATACCAATTCAAGAATTCAAACAATCAAGTATAGTAGCAAAGAATTGGAGTGAAATGACTGAATAACACTTCTTTTTGCATGTATCTTTAATGATTAGCAGTTGTTTGGCATTTTTGAATGTTGTTTTTGTTATTATTCTTGTCTACTTATGCTTTCACTTCTTTATTTGGTCAGTTTACTTGCTGCCACATTTGTACTGTTGATGTTCTTTTTAGTTAAAAGTTCATTTAAAAGGCTTAGAACACACTCATGTATCAATTCCTTCATATCTTGTAGATATGGAAGATCTCAGACAGTTCTCCAAAAGTCAAGGCGCTTCTGAAGCTGATGACTTGACCCACTGGGATACCGCCTTTTGGAGTGAGAGGCTACGTGAATCAAAATTTGAGCTAAACGAGGTTTCTTTTTCTGGAACTGAGTGTCACTACTACCCTTTTACATTCCGTATCATACAAAAAATAATATACATTTATGTATTGTTGTGAAAATCTGTTCCTTCTCTTTCCTACATATAAATGTTTTCAAGAGGTGATTTTCTTGATACTGCAGGAAGAACTGCGACCTTACTTTTCATTGCCTAAAGTCATGGATGGTCTTTTCAGCCTAGTGAAGATGCTGTTTGGCATTGATGTTGAACCAGCTGATGGTTTAGCACCTGTGAGATATCTAATTACCTTTCGTTTTACCATCAGATAAGAAGACGGGGGTGGGGATTCAACATGTTTCATTCTTCTGTTTTGCTGAATGTGTAGGTTTGGAATGCTGATGTCAGATTTTACTGCATCAAGGATTCATCAGGCAAACCTATTTCATATTTTTACTTTGATCCATATTCTCGTCCCGCTGAAAAAAGAGGCGGTGCATGGATGGATGAGGTTCTTGCAAGGAGTCGTGTACTATCAGATGACAGAACCTCTGTTAGGTTGCCCGTTGCGCATATGGTGTGCAATCAAATGCCACCTGTAGGAGAGAAGCCAAGTCTTATGACATTCCGTGAGGTAGGTATATGTAAATTTGGTTCAAGGGCAAAACATTTTGACATTTCATAAGGAGGGAATCGTGCTATAATTTATGAATTTTCAGTTATCATTTCAAAGTTATCTCTTAATCTGGCATGCAGTATGATGGAAAATATTCCCTTTTGTTTTAATGGTGGGAGTTCTTGTGATGTTTTTAAACTGTTGGTGCATTTTCTTTTTGAATTTAAAAAGTATCTTAAGGGGGGATGGGAAGATATTTAAGCATCAAGCCTCGCACCTGGCATGAAGTCAATAAATGATCAAGCAAACTAAATACATGAGGATGCCCAATTGCAACCCTTTCCACTTGTGCATCTATGATGAATAATAGTATTACATAATGAGCAAGAAATTAAATCTTTTACACATATATATACATATTATATATTTTACTATATGCTGTCATGTTTGCAGGTTGAGACTGTGTTCCATGAGTTTGGTCATGCACTCCAACATATGCTAACAAAACAAGACGAGGGCCTTGTTGCTGGTATACGTGGCATAGAGTGGGATGCTGTTGAATTACCTTCTCAATTCATGGAGAATTGGTGCTACCATAGGTATACTATCAGATTGCAACTTAGGTTGATTTACAATTAATCTGGAGTAAGGCTCTATCTTATTTTTTTTAAGTCTGTAATCAATCCTCCTTAGGTAAATGTCTTTGTCAAGGCACAATAAGACATATCGATGCAGATGCTGAGAAGATAAACAAAACCTTGGTGGCATAATGCAATAAACAAAATAGTTTGGTTGTAGAGCAAAAGAGGAATGCTATCCTTGAGAAGAAGATCCAGTTTAAATTACTGTTCTGTTTCTCTAGGCAAATAGACTTATTTTTTAAGATAATTTATGATAAGCTATGATATTAGAAAGTAAGCTGAAAAGCTACTACTGATTGCACCTTCTACCAGTGAACATGGGAGGTGTGTTGTCTTGTAGTGAGTTCAATAAGATTATATGTGCTAAGGGGCTGGTAACTGAAATAGTTTTGCTGCAGTGATTTAAGGAAGCAGAATAGATGCAGAGAGTTGCATCAATAAATGCACGTAGCTGACAAGTCGCAAGATAAACCTTTATGAGAGTTATGTTCGAAAATCACTCTTAAAAGGATTAGCTTGTGAATTCCAACTTGGAGCTTATGATGGAAAGCAATAATTAGATGCATAATGGGAAAAGGTTCTTGGTTATACATACTTTTAATTGGCTTAGGGGAAGTCTGTGATGGTGCTAGATATCTAATGAAGTACAGGTCTTATATGAGAACAGGGAATGTTCAAGTAGTGTAGGAGGTTGAATTTTCATCTCTGTCCAAGTAGTGTAGGAGGACGATGTTTTCTATGGATTGTCGTTGGATGGTTAGATTTTGGTCAGAACATATAATTAAGTTTCAGAACAAAGCTACTTATGCACTTGAATAGAGCAAATCAGCAGCAACAAACCACATACATAGACTAGCTATGGTTTTTCTAAAAGCAAATCATCAGCAACAAACCACATACATAGACCAGCTAGGGTTTTTCTAAAAGCAAATTAGCAGCAATAGAGCACATACTAGCAGCAAATCAGCAGCAATATAGCAACAGTATAGCAACAATCGAGCACCAATCGAGCAGCTAGGGTTTTTCTAAAAGCAAATAATCTATAGATAAAGAGGAGAAGTAGTTACCTTTGGAGAAGAGACACAAATAATCGATCGGCCGATTAGGGTTGTTGCAGAAGATAACGTCGATTATTGAGGAGAAAGAGTGTCGATTCTTGAGGAGATAGCGTCGATTCTTGAGGAGATAGTGTCCTGATAGCGTCGATTATGAAGGGTAGGAGTGTCTATTTTTTGGCTTAATGTGGACAACCTAGGGTAGCCATCTGCGCGAATAAGCCCATGTCTGGGCGATTAAGCCCGAAGTAAACACCCTAAAATGACTGCGCGAATAAGCCAATTTACCCATTAAGCCTTATTAAGCCCTAAGTAAACACACCCTTAGTGGTTGATTGTACAGGGCTTTTTATTTGTTGCCTAAAAGGAAATTGAAGTGGATTAAGCACTGCTTACGATTAGGCATCCACACTATTTTGTCGCTTGTTAGAACACTGTTTACTCTTAATTGCTTTTAGTTCCTTTTCCACTTGCTCTCTCTATCTCTTGCTAGTAGTATTCAAAAGTCTACTGTCCCCCAGACCGCATATATTCATGACCTTTTTAGCCGAGTACGCGTGACTTGGCATAATAAAAGAAAAAATACGATCAGCTGTAGCTTTATATGCTGATACACTTTAGACATGCTCTGTTTATTGATTTGATGGAGAGATGGTTGTGGTAGAAAGATACTATATAGATAAGCTGGCAAGACACTAGCAACTCAAACCTAGTGATCAACTTGTATATCATCATGTTGATTTAGCTGCTTTTTGACAAAAAACTTGCTTTATTTTATAGTTTGATCTACTTGTAGTTGAGAGTATATCTTGCAACAACAGTTTTCCATTTTATTGCTTCTTGCAGCTTCAGTTAAGCATGTTATGGAATAAGAATACTTTTGTTCCTAAATTTAAAATTTAAAATATGGTTTAAGGATGTGTTACCCTATATGGTGTAGAACCAACTGGGTTAGTTAATTCATTCAGAGAAAACCTGTGACTTTTTGATGAATGGTTGCTTAAGAACATGAGCGAATATTACACATTTTTTAAAGATGGTACTTGCAGGAGGTAGAAATATTAAAAATCAAATAAGCTGCGGTGAGTCAAATAGTCTGAACTGATACCCTCAATTATCAACGGAGCTAGTACCTGGACTTATATAGAACATGTCACTGTTAACTTTGGCATTAGCATAGTTTAAGTCCATAGGCATCGAGGAGATGCTCCTGACAGAAGTAAAATGATATAAAAGAATACTTGAGGCAATCTATGCTCGTGAGTGTGCCAATCTAATTAATGCTTGTTGTATCACCAGTATTGAATAACAGACAAACATTGATGGTTATAAATAAGAATGATACCAAAAGTAGTGTTTATTATTTACTGGAAACCTATCTTTTGACTGGGTTAAATGAAAACAAACATCATGTAGGATTATAACATCCTAGTAATTGGGAGAAAGGTAAAGGGATTCCTGTTATCTCCAATTGAAAGTTCTATACAGGAAACAAAAGAAACTAAAAAACGTAAAGATTTTACTTGTGGTCCTACAGACATATTCCTGAAGTTTTTCCAAGTTTATTTGTTAATGGTACTTGCTATATTTACCTGTAGAAGAGAAAAGTGCTGTGATAAGAGTGATGAAAAAAATGTGGCTGTGTTAAAAGTTAGTGCTCATCTTGGCCAAATTATTTCATTCTTGGATATACTTGTCCTAATCGTTACCTAGGATGATGTGTAATCTAGTGAAATTCATACTCTTCAATACATTCTCAACCAGGTGTATGACAATTAATTTAATACATTAGATGGCTGTTGCAGGGATACTCTGATGAGTATTGCGAAACATTATGAAACTGGGGAGTCGCTCCCTGAAGAGATATATCAGAAGCTTCTTGCTGCTAAGACTTTCCGTGCTGGTACCCTGAGCCTTCGTCAGGTGAGTATAACATCTATCTTTTGCCGAGATTCATAATTCATTTATTCAACTAGAACGGGTGTGAATGCATTTTTGATGTTCATTACTTTATCTTGAAATGTGTTCTTTTTATTTAGGCAATATTTATAGCCGTCCATAAATATGGGATTAGCCTTAATGGCGAATCATGGATATGTTTCTTCAGTTCTCTCATTTCTGGCATTTCTTTTATAATCTTGTCGAAGTGTATGCATATATTGTTCAATAATTATAGTTTTGCCATAGTATTGTTACTTTCCCGGAAACCAATTGGTCACTTGTGCTTGTGGTTGTATTTGGAGTGTTCAATTCAACATTTTACTTCATTCATGTTCTTTTTTGGTCTATACATGTTTAATGCTGGTATTTGTAATGATGTAACCATGTGATAGAACATATTTCAGCATAATATATTTGCAAAGCTACTTTCATATCATTAAAAAGAAAGTTGTACTAAAGGCTTTTCATCACTACTCCTGTGACGTTTGTACTAATTGCTAGTACCCACTAGTGTAGTGGGTGCAAGATTTCTTGTTTGTATAATTAATGCCTGCAAGATTATAATCTCTGTTTCATTTCTCAAAATTAATAATGAGTTTCCTAGAAGGGTTTATGCAAAACAACCCTTCACATGGATCGTGTAAACTTTAGGCTTTCAAGTCAGCAGGTGTGGTCCTTAAGCAGTTTATAGTACCCAGAGATTCGAACCTGAGACCTCATAAATCAAGCTCCCAATCCTAACCTACTAGGCCATCCCCTTGAGGCTTGACGATGTTGTATGATATAATAGTAATATCAGTGTTAGGGAAGAAATTTTTTCCTTAACCTATTATTTTGTTATCTTAAATTCTTGTCCAATACATTGGTGTTTATGTGCTGTTGTATATGTGGCCTTGGCTGGAAGGAACAGTGGTAGTTTAGCAGACAAAAGTAAATATGATAATCAATTGACTTGTGTTGTTTTGTAGCTAAAATTTGCAACAGTTGACCTGGAGCTGCATAGTAAGTATGTTCCTGGCGGGTCTGAATCGATCTATGATGTTGATCGAAGGGTCAGTGAAAAAACTCAAGTAATTCCTCCGCTTCCAGAGGACAGGTTCCTTTGCAGTTTTAGCCATATTTTTGCAGGTTGGTTATATTTTATTTTTCTTTCATTTTGTCGTTTTCGGTTAGTTTGCTGATGAATGTTATGTTACATCTTTCTATTCTTGTTGCCTTCTCATTTTGATTTGGTTGGGCGTCAACAGGTGGGTATGCTGCTGGGTATTACAGTTATAAGGTATAATTTTTCTTTGCTTTCTTGGTGGCCCTTGATTATCTTTTTTCAGGTGTTTGTCTTTGGCTGGCATGTGGGGATATTAGTATTTCAGTCTCTCTCTTGGTTCCATGTCCAAACTTCCAATCTTCTATCATTGGAAACTCTTTTAATTAGGTCAAAGTAATGCAGCCTAAATACCCTTCGTGTTTAACTTCCATGTGATGGCAATTGTATCCCGGTTGGTGATTCTCTGTGATGTCTTAGTGGTTTCCCCAAATAGCATTAGTAATGCTCAAGTAAATAATTGAGTCCTAATTTTATGGCGTTTAGGTTGTTAGAGATTTTTTGCCGTTTAGAAAAACCTATATATTAAATGGCTTGTAGGAAATAGAAACATTGTGATTTATATGTTGTTTTTCAAATGCGTTATTTGATTATTCTTCTCTCCTTTGGCACTCTATCTGATTGTGAACATCATTTTTGCAGTGGGCCGAAGTGTTGTCTGCTGATGCTTTCTCGGCATTTGAGGATGCTGGATTACAGGATGACAAGGTATTGTTTTTGTGGATATACATAATGAGCTAACTGGCGCTTTTATCTTTCCAGAATGTGTGTGTAATAGATACGTGTGAGTATCGTTTACGAAATGTTGCATGGTGCGTTATGCTTGTGGAAGCTTTCATTCCTATGCAGCACATAGGGACTGGACAAGTCATTTGATTACAAATATCATTACAATTAAATGTCATTTAATTCTGATAATTTAACTCTTGTCGTTAAGCAAAGCAATAGGAACTGATTCACTCATTGAATACAAAGACAAAGCAACTTTCGCCCGATCCTGACAGGGAGGGATGTAGTTGTAGATACGTTAGTCTTAGTCGGTGGTTGGCTCCACTTGTTATTGAACAGACATTGTAATGGGGTATCTTTCTTTCAGTGGCTAAACACATGGTTGATCCTCCTCTGTTGTTCAGCTGCATTTCTTGTTAGATTTTGTCAACTATCTAAGGGGCTGTTTGGTTGCCTCTTAATGGTGACATTAAGAGGACACCTCTTAATCGCTAAGAGGCTAGAGTTGTTTGGCAAAAAAAAAAGGACCTCTTAATGGTGACAAAAGCCTCTTAACCATTTAGGGGCTAGGGCTCCCCTCAACGATTCAGAGGGATCTGGTGACATTTTTGCCCTCTGCTGTGTCGCCTCCTTCCAATCGATCTCGTCTCATCTCCTCTCCTCTCCTCTCCTCCTTCCAATCGATCGATCCATTTTTGCCTGCTGCTGTGTCGCCTCCGTCCTTCCACCATCTCCGTCCCTGTCTCCATCGTCGCCTTCTTCATCGTCTTCATCGTCTCCGCCTCCATCGTCTTCGTCTCCACAGTCGCCGTCTCCACAGTCGCCGTCTCCACAGTCGCCGTTCATTTTCTGGTCGAAACCACCGATCGAAACCACAGTCGCCGATCGAAACCACCGTCGCCGTTCATTTTCTGTATGAAATCATCGCCGATTGAAACCACAGTCACCGATTGAAACCACAGTCACCGATTGAAACCACAGTCACCGATCGAAGCCCTAATTTCTTGTATGAAATCTTATGTTGAATCAAGGCTAAAAACATTAAAGAAGCACTGTCGCCGATCGAAACTACCGTCGCCGTTCATTTTCTGTATGAAATCATCGCCGATCATTCTGACGGATTGAAACTACCGTCGCCGTTCATTTTGGATGCTAACAGAACCTTGGTTTGGATTAAATCATATAGAGGGGTAAAATAGTAATTTGTTGTCATTCAGAGAATATTTACCAAACAACCATATTTCATTCAGTACTTAACCATTCTGACCCTCTTGACCATTCTGACCACTTAACCATTCTGCACCAAACCATTCAGCAACTGCCAAACAGCCCCTAACTTCAAGCTCTGGAATCTAGATGATACTCTTGGTGCGCACTACAAATGCGAACTGGTTGATAAACTTACATGCAAATGCTGGTAGACGGGGTCTCACTGGCCACCCTCGAGAATAGCCAAGTCTTTTTTTTTTTTAAGTCTACCATTGCCTGAGTTACATTAAAATAACGGCTAGGAACAGTTTTTGAAAACCATCTTCGTGTTCTTTTCCCCACATCATTTTCTACTGTTGCAACATGTTGTTGGTTTTCTTATAATCTTTAAGCTTGTGTATTTGTATGTTCAAAGAAGTGCTAAAATTGTACGAATTTACCAGTAGGATAGTATGCATATTATTAGGTGTTGTATCCTGTGTTTACCATCTATAGTATAGACGCTGTTATGTTAATTTGTTGTGGAAGAACTGTTAATCATGATTTGCTACATCCTGAAACTAATCTCTTAGATTTCTTGTTCAAGTGATTTAATTTTTTGGGTCTGCAACAGGCTGTCAGAGAGACAGGGCACAGGTTCCGTGAAACTATTCTTGCGCTTGGAGGTGGAAAAGATCCGCTAGAGGTTAGATCTTTTTGATTCTTCAGTTACAGAATCTCAAATAACATATTGTTTGTTCAGCACTCTTAACAACTTTATTATGTGAAATTTAAGAACTGGTTTGTGCTTTTAAGATAGAAAATGCATCCCTTTTAAAATATTGAAGTTTCTTTAAACTCTTCATTTTCTAGATCTCTTTGATTATTGCAATATCTTTTTAAAGGCCAAATATGACTTCCAATAGCAGTCTAGTTTATCCTGAAATTGTAAATGTAATTGCTAACGAAGACTAGATATCACCTTTAATTGGTTATCATTATGGAATCCTGATCTCAAAAGAGTTCTAATTGACATTCAAGTGCTAAGTAGGGTGCCTTTAAACTTCAAATTCAGTCACAGTTTGTTTTCTAATGGCGGTAACCTTGACACTTACATTATACTACAACAAAACATTACAGCATGAAGTTTTAGGAGCTAAAAAACTAAAAGTTCATTTATTTTTCACCATTTATCATTTTAATGTTGTGGGTTCCTATTTACTAAATGCAAGGAGAAATGGAGACTAGACCTACAAATGAAGAATGGTGTATGCATAAACTGGTAGTAACAAATGAAACCCAAAATATATGCATTAGTCTTGAATAGTGAATACCAGTACCACTTTGGATTTTTGAAGTGGATGGATGACTGCAACTGTATATGCCTATATATATGAGATACAATTATGTTATATCTACATATGATATATAAGCACTAAATGATAGTGAATTATGGAATGCAAGCAGAGAGTCCTGTTAATAAAAGCATTAGCTTTATCGGACATGTTTGTTTTTTATATAAAGTTTGTTATGTTACTGGACTTGATGATAATGGTGGAATGGAAAATAACAGGTTTTTGTTGAATTCCGTGGACGGGAACCCTCTCCTGAGCCGCTGCTGAGGCACAATGGCCTATTGCAGACAGCATGATATATCTATATATATGGGTCTAGCTGAACAGGGAAGAAGTTGATCCTTTTGTTCATTGCCATCCGAATTGTTGGTTTTTTCTTGGATTAAAACAGGCGGCTGCAGTTGACATGACGGTCTATTTACTGTTTTTCTTTGTTTAAATTGCAAAAGGAAAACGTTTCTAATGTGATGCACACTACAAAGTACATTTTACGAATGACGAAAATCTAACTTTAGGATTGTCATCTTTTGCAATCTATTTGGAGGTGCAATGTTCCATCTTTATTTTGAGTTGATGATTCAGTCTATAAGCCATGGGAAACTCCAATTTGTTGGGAGATTAAGGTCTCATGTAAGGTGATATCTGTTTTGGCTCAACTGTAAGCTTTGCATATACGTTAATTTACTTACGGCTTAATAAATAAGTTTATGGCTTAAAAATTAGGCCACCAGGGTTTAAGCTTTGTTCTTTCAGCCACCCTCATTTTCCCTTTTCTTCCCTTTGAATTAACAAAGTATAGTCTCCATCTCGTCAACATGTGTCGTTCCCTTTTCTGGTCGTGTTCCCTCCTTAATCGCCTGTCTGTCGGTGCTGTTGTTACAGATAGGATTCTTATATTACTGTAAGACCCCATGTCGGTTGGGGATGGGGAATGACGGTTGCTTTATAAGGGATTGAATACTTTCTCTATCAGATGTGTTTTAAAACCGTGAGTCCAAAGTGGACAATAGCTAATTGGTAGATTCCTTCCAATATATTTGGATTTCAAATTCTCATTAGTTTTCCTGGTTTGCTTTGTGTTCGTATTTGTGTACGCAACTTGCAAGTTAGATGAAAATAATTTGGTTCTTAATCAGGTTGTTTGGTAATCCTGTATAACATGTTTTTTAAAACACACACCAGGGGTTTAAATTGTCCCAAAACTCCTTCCGCCATAAAGTTATATCGGTTTCAAAATAGGTTTCTGCTATTAGAAATGGTGACTGTGCAATTTTTTTTGTTGAATGGCAAACCAATTTATTAAAACCCAAGAGAATTACAAAAGATTTTTGTTGAATGGCAAACCAATTATTTAAAACCCAAGAGAATTACAAAAGAGCTTCTGCAGGCCGCGGAACCAACCCAAAACAAACAAACAAGCCTGAAAAAGGCTAAACCAAGCAACCCGAAACCCGAAAGAACTATAACAAAGCTTCAACTACGAAACCCGAAACCAAAACAAAACACCGACAGACCTGAAACTCACGTCACAACAGATGCTGCCAAAAATGGCTCCGTCAGCCACAGGCCCTGCGAAGGCAACCTTTCGAAATCTTCTCGAAATTTAGTCTTAAACTCTTGTTTGAATACCTCAAAATAGAAGATCTGAAGGTGAAGATTCATCCCGAAAAGCCACTTGATTACGATGTTCTCATATCAAGTATGCCACAGACCAAATAGTAGCTTGCAAAATATATCCACCTGAATGATTTAAAACTTCTTTTGCTGAATTCCCGACAAACCTTCGATCTTCCACCACTGAACAAAGGAGGACCACACGTTTGAGGCTTATCTACACCTTGTAAGACAATAATCTATAGTCTCTCATTCTTCTCCATACCACGAACATAATATGGACTCCAGATCAATCCTCGTCTGTCCAGATTTAGCCTAATTGGCAGGCCGCCTTTAAGAACCCACCACACAAAAATGTTTACCTTCCGAGGTGTCAAATAGTTCCAACAGGTTGTCGAGGCATACATGTCAGTAGAAAGATACTTGAACTCGATAACAACTCTCAATTTTTTACCGAAAACTCTCCGTTGGCATCCATCTTCCATTTATCCCTATGCAATTGAGCGAGTTAAAACATCTCTGGGTAATTTAAAGTGAAATTAGACATGATGTTATAATATTCAAATTTTATTTATTGTTTAGAATAATAAAATTTATTTAAATCAGTAATTTAACATATAAAAGAAATAACATTATTTATCATAAATACTTGTTTATCTAAATGTTTGTCTTCATTTGGAAAAAAAAGAGCAAACATTGATGGAGTGTTAAATATATGATTCAACTTGTTTTGTTTCTCTAATAAAAATAAAAATAAAAATAAAAATAAAAATAAAATAATTAATAAAAAAAGGAAGTGAGATGTATCACGGGGGAAGGGACTTTAATGTGTGACCAACTTTCCCACTCCGGCATCTTCTCTCTCTCATGTATCCACCAATTAATAAATATCTCCCATCCGTTTATTTCATTTTACTTTCATAACTCATAATTTTAGTTGTAATTTTAAAAATAATACATAAATTGTTATATTAGATTTATGTGGGTTGGGTTTATGCAATAAGATAAAGTTAAAGGCGAGAAGTATAATAAGAGATCTTTATCCTTGGATGTATATTAGGATGAAATGTAGCGAGATGTACCAATAGGGGTGTAAATAATACGAGATAGCTCGCGAGTTACTCGAAATCGACTTGGTTAAAACTCAGTCAACACTTAACTCGAACTCGAGCTCGACTTGACATATTAACAAGTCGAGTCGAGCTACCCAATACTCGACTCGAAAAGTTCGTGAAATACTCGATTTTTTTTTATAATTAGTTTTAAAATATAATCAGTTTTATAATATGATTTGTAAAATATAATATAATAAAAATATCTTATATTTTTAGACATTTAAACAAAGTTGTGCATTTTTTAACTATAAAAACTAATCAATTATTTTACTATTAAAATCATAATTAAAAAAAAAAAGAACTTATAGAAGTGTTTGTAAAGTTGTTCCACATTGAAAGATAAATAGTAAAGAAAGAGTAAAAAAGTGTTAGAGAGAGAGAGAGAGACAGAGAGATGACCGCACTTTGTAACTTTGTCTTCTTGTAACTCCATTTAGTTTTAGAAAATTCTAGAGAACACCTTTAAATTTTATAATTTTTGATAGAAGAACCCAAAATTTCATTAAATGAGAATGGTTCGAGCTTGATTCGAGTTCGAGTTTAAAAAATTGCAATCAAGTTCGAATCAAGTTTAACTTTTAACTACTTATGAGTTGTTGAGTCGAGTCGAAATTTAGTTGACTTCGATTCACATCATTTACACCTCCGTCCACCAACCTTATATATATTTTAAAATACATAAAATTACCAACTTGTGTCAGAATCTTTTTGGATAACAGTTAAAACTGATTACCATAATATATTTTAATATTGTTAAATATAGTAATTTAATATTGTGTCACAAATGAATATCTACTTTTCATTCTAATGTTTAAGGATAAAAAATCCTTAAATTAATTAAAAATAAAAATAAAAATAAAATATTTATTAAATTTATACAGCTAATTAATTCTAACAAGTTAAGATTTGTAAGCCCTCTTTAAAACCTATTAAATTCTAATCATTAAAAACTCAACTACAAAACAAAAGGGTGAAGCTATTTTGCCACACCACCGCCTGTAGGTTGCCCCTCCTCTTCGCCTGCGCTCCGGCATCTTCCATCACCGCTACCGCTGCTGCCTAAGGTATGATCCATCGTCTTCTCTTCTTTTAGGATCTGAAACCGTAGTTTAAATGAAACCTTATCCTGCCGTTTCAATACTTACCTTTGATTTTTGGGGGCGACTTAACCTTTGTCGGCGAAACACAGGAGACTCAGACGACTTTCATCGTTAGGTTATCGCTGACTTCTTGATTATTCGATTGTTAGTTGTGTTTAGGAGTGTTGGAGTGCGAGATTAAATGCTGCTTACTCGCCGTCTCATGCTTTATAAACATCTTCGGTTTTTATAGTTAACGAAATCCGAGATATCGTGGAGTTTATCGCGGGTTTCTACTAAATTTTATGCTTTTTTTTAATTTAAACAGAGAATCTGACTTGATGTTATACTTTTCTAGGAGAATTTCAGGAATATTGCCAGATTATCATCATATTCTCTGCGAAGAACCACTCATCCACCTCCTGTATAATTGGAAAGTTCATTTCCTTCAACAATGGCTAGATTTCTGTTGGCCATCCTCGTTGTCTTCTGCTCCCTTTCCAGTTTTACATTGGTTAACACTGAAAGAATTCAAAGGTTATCTAATGGTGGTGGTTCAAAACAGTTAAGATTTGGTAGAAAGAAGGGAGAGTTTAAGATTCTGCAGGTGGCTGACATGCATTATGCTGATGGCCGGAAGACTCCTTGTGAAGATGTGTTACCAAAGCAGTTTTCCCATTGCTCTGATCTCAACACCAGTGTTTTCATCAACCGTATGATCCAAGCTGAGAAACCCGACTTCATTGTTTTCACCGGAGATAATATCTTCGGGTTCGATGCAACAGACGCAGTAGCATCCATGAATGCAGCCTTTGCCCCTGCAATAGCATCGAAAACCCCATGGGCTGCTGTTTTGGGGAACCATGATCAAGAATCAACCTTATCAAGAGAAGGTGTGATGAAACATATTGTTGGAATGAAGCACACACTATCTCAATTAAATCCTCTTGGTGTTGACGTTATTGATGGTTTTGGGAATTACAATCTTGAAGTTCATGGAGTTGAAGGATCAAGTTCAATGAACAAATCCATCCTCAACTTATACTTTCTTGATAGTGGCGATTACTCTACAGTCCCCTCGATCCTTGGCTACGGATGGATCAAACCATCTCAGCAATTTTGGTTTCAACAAACATCTAAAAAGCTTCGAAAGAAGTCAAAAGCTCCTGGGCTTGCTTATTTCCACATCCCATTGCCCGAGTTTGCAAACTTTGACTCATCAAACTTTACAGGGGTGAGACAAGAAGGGATTAGCTCTGCTTCTGTGAATTCAGGGTTCTTCACAACTTTAGTTGAAGCAGGGGATGTGAAGGGTGTTTTCAGTGGGCATGATCATTTGAATGATTTCTGTGGGAAGTTAAGTGGAATTCATCTTTGTTATGGTGGGGGGTTTGGATATCATGCATATGGGAAAGCTGGATGGTCAAGAAGGGCAAGGGTTGTGATGGTTTCTTTGGAGAAGAAGTCACATGGTGATTGGGGTGCAGTGAAGTCCATCAAAACATGGAAGCGGCTAGATGATAAACACCTAACTGCCATTGATGATCAGGTTCTTTGGAGCCGACATCCATCCGGGAGTCGTAGAAAGAAGCCCGTTGGCGGTGGTGTTTGAATGATCCAGAAATTCCATCCAAACAAGATTTTAGAGTAGAAAGAAAGGCAGAAGATAGGCTGCATCAATAAAAGTCATCTCCATCTCCATCTTCATCAAAATCCAATCTTTTTTATTAAAAAAGGTAAGCAAGCAGTTTGTACCAGGCTCTTTATATTTATAAAAAATGCTATTTCTTGTTGCTAGAAAGCATATATATATATATATATATATATATATATATATATATATATAACCAACTTCTCTTTTGTTCTTTTTGAGTATCAGATGTTGCTAAATAAACCCTTTTTAGTTAAATTGCATACTGAAAATATAAAATATAAAAAAGAGAGTTCGATGTTAATATATATGTGAATATTAAATTAGCATGAGGTTACAAGTTCATTTAGAATAACCATTTTTAGGTGTAAAGTGAACATACATGGTTTAACCACCAATAGAGGGACCTATAGCCCATCATAAAACATGTTTCTTAACTACTATTACATTTTTGGTCAGAGTAAACTATGTTTTTAGTCCCTGTGATTTGTTAAAAATTACGAATTTCATCCTGTGGGTTTTGAATTATGGTTTTCATTTATATGGTTTGTAATTTTGTCGCTAACTCGACTTGTGACTATTTGTTGGTATAAAACTAATTCTTTTGTCCCAAAACAAGTGTCTACGTTATTATATTAATTTGTTTTAAGATAAATGTCTACTTTTTCATTCTACCCTTAATTATAAAATTATTTTTTTTCCAATGATTAAGGGTAAAGTTGTCCTTTTATTAATTAAAAAGCGTAATAATTACATATTCTTAAAAATGTATGTATTTCTTATTGTAGACATTTATTTTGGGATAAAAGAAGTATGTACTAATCTTAATAACAAAAATGCCAAACTTTAGGTAGCGTTTGGTGTGCAGACATTAGTGGACATGACATAACTGGACAAGATAAAAGGGTAGGATTGGAGAAGACTGGACAAAATAAGAGTATGTCTGGTGTTTGGTACAACTAGAGACGAGACAGAACTAGACAAGCTATCCCCAAAAGTTATTTGATGATTTCAAATATTATATAATAGTTATAATTAACACAAATAAAGTAAATAATTTAATTTATAAATATTTGTACACAATTTTCATATAAATAAATACATACATATATAATGGTACCAAATTCGAATGAAAATTTTGATATAATTGATGGTAGTAGCGGTGATGGTGGAGGTAGTTTTGGTTATGGTGGAGGTGGTAGTGGCCGACAGTAGTACGTGGAGGTGGTTTTGGTTATGGTGGAGGTGGTAGTGGCCGACGGTAGTAGTGGCAATGGGCGGTGGTGGTCGGTGGCCGACGATGGTTATGGAGGTAGAAGAAGTGGTGGTTGGTGGACGACGGTGGTTATAGAGGACATGAAGATGGTGGATTGTGGTGGTGGTGGCGGTTGATAACGAAGGAGGAGGTAGTTGTGACTGATGTAGTGAAGTTAGTCATGGTGGTGATTATGGTGGAGGTGAGGTGGCAATGAATGATGGTGCCCGATGGTGGTCGTGGAGGAGGTTGTTGCATTAGAAGAGGAGTTGGAGTTGGAGGTGGCCAACAATGGTAGTGGTGGTGGCGGCAATGGACGATGGTCGATGGTGGTTGTGGAGGAGGTTATTGCGGTATAAGAGGACCTGGAGGTGGCCAACGGTGGTAGTGGTGGTGGCCAATGGTGGTTGTAAAGGTGGCAATGAACGGTGGTGAAGGAGGTTGTTGTAGTAGAGGAGGGTTGGAGGTGGCGAACGGCAGTAGTGGTGGTCGGTGGTCTACTATGGTAGAGGTGGCGATGGACTTGGTGGACGGTGGTTATGGAGGGGGTGGAGGATGTAGTTGTAGTGTAAAAGGAGGTGGAGGTCATCGGCGGCGGCCGAAACTAGCGATGATGACCATTAAAATAAATATCATATTAAGGTTATATATCAAACTATGGTAGATTAATAATATTTTAGTTTCTGTCTCATTCTTGTTCCACCTGTCTTGATGGAACAAGAAAATGTCTTCTTTGTCCCATGTTGTTCAACCTTGTCCCAATTATTGTTCCTGTCCCATGTCGCGCCAAACGTGGGACAATGAGTTCTTGTTCTGTCTCATGCTGCGTCAAACGTGGAACAATGAGTTCTTGTTCTGTCTCACTACCAACTCAACTTTACTACAAATATGATTATGAAATGTTGGGAAAGATTACAAAATGATTATCAACACATATTTTATAAGCATGTAGTCAGGAATTGATATATTTTTTAGGGTTGAAGTGTAATTTTTTAGGGTCCTTAAATATGAAACTATAAGTTTTTTGGGTGTAATCATAAATTTTATAACTTTTGAGGATTTTATATGAAAATTTAAGAAAAAAACTTGAGGATGATAAGTTATGGTTTTCATCCTTCAAAAACTTTAATATTTTTAATTCTCTTTTTATTTTTTTATTTTATATATTAACTAATTAGTAGCTAAAATACATTAAAAATACATATTTTTTTTTACAAATTACACCGTTAGAAAGGTCTTGTCGATATCTTCGAAATAAGCTCAATATCAAATATTTGTAATGTTAACACAAATAAAAAATGGAATGCGTGTAAAATATATCCATTGTTTAATCATCATTAAATACACATTTCCTTCATTGATTGTTCTTGATTTTTCTAATAAAATTTAGTGTGAATAATAAGGTGAAACTTTTTTCAATAAAATTTAATGTTAATACAAATTTTTATAGCGTTTTTTTTTTTTKTTAGGGTTAATTTGTTCATATTGATGTAACAGTGTTAACCAACTCTTTAGGGTTACTTTGCGTATATTTGACTCTCTTTGCAGACTTTATGGTTATTTGTTTAGGGTTAACTTAGGTTAATTTTTAGATTTTAGGTTTTTTTTATTAATTAGAGATCAACTTTGTAGGTTAATTTGTTTATATTTATGTTTAATTTGCTTATATTTGAAGTCAATATGTTGTATCTCGAACCAATCATGAAGATCAACAAGTGAAAAATTGGAAATGCATCAACAATTGATTGGTTCTAAAGTTTTAACAGACAATTTATTGAAAATAAACTAATGTACCAATTTTTTAATGACTTAGATACTTAGAGGGCGTTCAATTTGATAAAATGGTTTTGAGGAATTTGGATTTCGTGGAAAAATTTAGAATTGAATGAATTTGGATTTTGGAATATTTGGTGTGTTTAGTTTGTAGGATCTGAAATGGAATTGAATTTCATTTTTTATGAATAATTTGTAATAACAAACAAACGTATTGAATTAAACATTATTCCATACAAATCCTACGAAATCGAGTGAAATCCCAACCATCCTTTGGGATTTCAAAACCTTATGTTTGAGGGATTTCAAATCCGAAAAATCTTGCAAACCAAACATGAGATTTGAATGGATCTAAATTCCATATCCTTTAAATCCATTTCATTTCTACAAACCAAACGGATTCTTAATGTATATTTAATGAACCAAAAATATAAAAAACAGATTTTTTGTAAAATTTTATAATTAAATTTTAAAATAACTTATATTACGATAATTCTTTTGTGATACCATACCACTGCTAAAAAATCATGAATCCACTATTACATAAGACATTAAAAATATAAGCTTAAACTTTAAAAATTATATTGATTTGAACTACGCGACTTTTAGAGTCACGTACAACAATGAATATCAACATAATTGCAAAATACTAGAAAAGGAACACCTTCACTAGCAATTTTTATCATCAGAAATTAAAAAAAAAAATTTCAAAATTTTCATTTATTATTATAGTTTTAAAAGTTATGGTCTCTCAAAGTTAACTAAAAAATGATTACTAAAGAATCGTTTATCAAGTAAGCGTATATCTTATCAACTGAGAATGATAATGACTGGAAATATTACTAAATAAGGGCCTGTTTACTTGTGGCTTAATGAGCTTACTGGATAAACGGGCTTATTCGCACAGCCATTTTAGGCTGTTTACTTCGAGCTTATTCGCCCAGACAGGGGCTTATTCGCACAGACCAATATCATCACTTGTCCACATTAAGCCAACAAAAAGACCTGTCTACCCTTATAATAGAAAACCCACGCTCTCTTTTCTCCTTCGACATGTTCGCTCATTCTCCTCCAAAACCCTAATCGGCCGATTTTGCTGCTCATATTGCTTCCGATTTTGCTGCTCGTTATCCAATCTTCTCTTCTCCAAAGGTAACTCTTCTCCTTATCTATAGATTATGTTCGATTTTGCTGCTCGTTGATGCTCGATTCGCTCTTAATCTGTTGATGCTCGATTCGCTCGATTTGCTCTTATGTTCGATTCGCTCTTATCTGTTGATGCTCGATTCGCTCTTATGTTCAATTTTGTATGCTCGGTTTGTTTAGTTTGTTTAGGTTTTCGTTTTTCCTTTTCTTTAGTACAGTGGTATCAACACAAGGAGGAAACTCCTTATTAGTTTGGAATCAGAGCCTGCTTAAACCAGTATATTATTTGGCTCCCATTATCACGTTATTAGTTTGGAATCAGAGTCTGATAACTTGGTTGCTGCTTGGTTACTGCTTGCTTCTTAAATTAAACCTTGATAACTTRGGTGTACAATGTTCATTATTTGTTTATTGCTTCTGATTTGCAGCTCGATATGTGTTTTGTTTAACATGGGGTTGTATAACAGCAGCTTGTTAATATCCTTTCAAATAGTTTGGTCAATAATGTTTGAACTTGTATTTTTTGTGTTTCAACTTGTATTTGAACTTGGCTACTTTGTGTTTGAACTTGGATTTATGAATTTATGTTTTGTTATTTAAATATTTTATTTTTCAGAAATATCATTTGCCTTAAAAAATGAACAACAATATACTAAACAGCCCATAGTTAATACTCAGGGGTAAATTGGTCATTTCTGTTATTYAGACTGTTGATTCAGATAGAAAAGTAAACARCAACCCAAATTTATCCAGACAGCCAARTTTATCCAGACAGACAAATTTATCCATACAGGACTTAATAGAAAATTTGGTAAACAGCTTCTAAGAGGCATAGGAGGACTAAAAATATTACTGGGTAAATATGGGGAAAAAACTTTTACTTGATAAACGTTTACCAGATAAAAGACATTTACCAACAATTTATTTTGATGACGGAGTATGTTACCCGATAATGCAAGTGAAGGTTGTGACCCCTAGAGTAAACATTTGATAAACAACCGTAAAATTATTAAGAAAAACTAATGATTAGTTATAATCATCTAAATCCCCATATCTCACGGGGGGCGGATTTACATTTTTTTCTTCAACTCTTATGTCTTTAATTTTCCTAGTAGCACAATCCGCTTTGACGAAACCCTCACTCATTTTTTTTGATAGTTGTCCCCCATGCATATTGTATTATGTTATTGCAGTTCTTGCAATCATGTTACAATGATAACTTTAATTTATGATTTTGTAAAATATAATCCAATTTCTTGTTTTTTAGTTAAAGATAAATCATTTTACTTAATGTTACTTTTATCTGTGCTTGAACCAATTCATTAATAGGAAAATCATATAACTTAGATAATAGCATAATTTGCTATCGGGTTAACCGATATGATAAAAAAAGTAATCGAAGCAAAAACTTCCCTTATTTGATTAAGCCGTTAAACTCGAAACAGTTTTAGTTTGGGTAAGTTATTCGGTTTTGAATTTTTTATACCTTTAAGGCCTCCAATCATCATCTAATGGGTTGCTTGGCTGTTGTTGAATAGTTTTGTGAAAAAATAAAGGGTTTTAGAGAGGTTTCTACTGGAACGATGTCGCATCAAGAAGGCAGTGTGTGAGCAAATATCAATCTTCCTTCCTTCCATCTTCAGAGTCACAGAGACACAGAGGTTGAAGCAAGCAGGTGAATAACGATGAACAGCAACCTACTTGGATTCCAGACCACAAACCCTCCTTCTCTCTTTCCTTTCACCACTCAATCCCTTTTATTCACTTCCCCTAAATCCTCTTTCTTATCCTTCAAATCCCTAAAACCCCCAACCACCAATTTCAGTAAGTTTCCTCACTTTCAACTTCTACGATTCATTCTTATTGGTTCCGAACTTCAAAATTGTTTTATCTTTTTATGTGGATTGAAGCGAGTATTAGATAATGATTTCGTATGCTTTGTTCTTGTATAGAGATTTTATGTGGCAATCCGGGTATGGCCGCACAACTTGTGGAGGAACAAGAAGTTGAAATTGCTGAAGGCTATACGATGACTAAATTTTGTGATAAATTGATTGATGTGTTCTTGACTGAGAATTCCAAGCCTAAACACTGGATGAGATACTTGATTTTTAGAGAAGATTGGAATAAATATAGAGATGGCTTCTATAGTCGCTGTAAACTGCGGGCTGATGGTGAAAATGATCTCACATTGAAGCAGAGTTTAATTACATTGGCAACAGAAGTGAAAAGGGTATAAGTTTCTTTACTATTAGCTCAATTTCTGTTCTCTAGTATTTTGATATTGTGCTACCAAATGGGAGTATTTTGCAATTTGAAGATTGTTGTCGCCTGCAAGTTTTTTGGTAACTATGCCACAAATTTCATTTTAAGTAGTTTTAAATCAGAACGTAGGGTTCTTCTTTGAAAAAGGGGAGTGTGATATTTGGGTGAAATTTGTTATGATACCAACTGTTGTTAAGTGATTTTGATTTTTCAAGTTGTCTGTTGTGAATGAATGAGGAAATTGCAGGTTGATGATGAAATGGAAAGACATTCTGAACTTCTTAAGCAGATAGAAGATAGCCCTATGGATATAAATGCCATCGTTACAAAGCGGCGTAAGGACTTTACAGGGGAATTTTTTCGCTATTTAGCCGTGGTTCAAGAATCACACGATAGCTTGGAAGATCGTGATGGTACTATCTTACATATTGATCTAATTTAGATGTTCATACTGAAAATTGATCCCATGGCAGAAGCATATATACACCACCAAAGTCCAACAGCATCAATAAGAACCACAAATCTTTTATCCAAAATGAGTTGCGAATATGTGTGTGTGTGTGTGTGTGATTTTGTTGGGACAAAGGGAAGTGAATAAGAAGTCACACATAATTTGGTTTGAAGAAAAGCGAGGAACACATGTTTTTAGTTGAGATGCTGTGAATCCTTGCCCATTTGGGAAGTCCCCAACAGTTTTCAGAATCCTCTATAACGAAGCTCCTGGAAAACCCCATCTGCTTTTCTTCCGTATTTTCTATTCAGCATTGTTTTCTCCATATAGTGAGTACTGATTAACCACTGCCCATGAATGTAGCCCTGTTTAGTGAACCACTATATTCTTTGTCTGCGTAAAACATCCTTCTATTTTCACCATTCCTTTTGGTTTTATTTTCTCATGTTACTTTTTTGGTTGTGTAAGCAGCCGTTGCACGGCTTGGAGCTAGATGCCTGTCTGCAGTCAGTGCTTATGACAACACACTGGAAACCATGGAGACATTGGACACTGCACAAGCCAAATTTGATGATATCCTAAACTCGCCTTCAATAGAAGCAGCGTGTGCCAAGATTAAAAGCCTTGCCAAGACAAAAGAACTCGACTCCTCTTTAATCCTATTGATAAATAGTGCTTGGGCTTCCGCAAAAGAATCCTCTACCATGAAAAATGAGGTAAAAATGGCAACTTTCTATTCTAGTGTTCTTTTTCAAGAAAGAAAGCCCTATAATTTAAGAAGAAATATTCGATTCTGAATTTGCAGGTGAAAGCGATAATGTATCAACTATATAAAGCTACAAAGAGTAGTCTAAAGAGCATAGCACCGAAAGAAATAAAACTACTCAAGTATCTGCTAAACTTCACAGATCCAGAAGACCGTTTCTCAGCTTTGGCAACGGCGTTCTCCCCTGGTAAAGACAGTGAGGCCAAGGATCCTAATGCAATATACACGTAAATCAGCTTCCATCCCGCTTAATCTGTTTATATATTTACTGCAAAATGAAGAACGTATCGTATGAATCGTTGATCATGCATTTGCAGAAGATATTTATCATTACTTGGTTTCATTTCATGTTTGGATCAGAACTCCTGAGGAGCTGCACAAGTGGATTACGTTCATGCTGGATGCCTACCAACTTCATAAAGAAGAAACCGATATCATGGAAGCCAAGGAGATGAACCTACCGATGGTTATCCAAAGACTTTCGATTCTCAAGGAAACCATTGAAGAAGAATATATGGAAAAGGAAACCCCTGAAGCCAATAAAGACACCAATGCAGAAGAAGTTTAAGGTATATTGTTCCTTAATCACATGTGATTATTGGTTACTATTCATTAGAATTGTACTATATTTTAGAAATTGAAGCCAAGCTCAAACCAATCAGAAATTGAAGTTTAAGGTATATTGTTCCCGGTACTTTTGACCTTTGGAGCCAAGCTCAAACCAATCAGGTACCACCTTGTGGTTGGTTACGTGTGTTTTGTGCTAAAAGTAACGTCATATCCTCTTAACAGACATTTTCCAAAAAAAATAAATACAACGTGATTTATTAGTAAAAATCTAAACACCACAAGCTTATGTCACTTGAATCAAAGTTATTATATAAACTTGACGTTGTCGATTTTATTATGTTATATATTAAATTTTCTTGGCTATTACTTCATTTTTATTACCTCTACTAACAACTTGTTTCTTTTCTTATGATTTTTATTTACATGAAATAACAACCTATTTTCATAAATTTTTTTATTATAGCATACTATTTTTTTTCTCTTTAACTACAATAATGTACTTTCAAATTATTTTTTATTAATGTATCGTACTTTAAAAAATCTACCCATTATAACAATACGTAATCTGTTACCTTTTAAACCGGTTAACTCCTTAACTCTTTTTGTTTGTGTGACTTTAATGAGCATCATTTTGGTGACTTAATTAAAATAAAAATAAAAACCTATTTCAAATTATTATTAATGATTTTTATTTTTCATTGTTATGATTTAAAAAAACATTTATTTTTTTTATTTTTTTATTAAGTTGCATGCAAATTAAATATTTTAGAGTAAAATATTTCTTAAATAAATATGCTACATTATTTTCGAGATATTTTTTTTGTAAAAAAGGTAACACTTCTTATTTTATGTTATTTAAAAAATACATATATTTTAAAGTTTTATCTAAAATATTAACGAAGTAACTTGTGTTCAATAATTTTTTAATATTGTTAT